ATAATATTCTAAGATAATAATTAATAAATAATAAATAATAAAATAATAAACTAATAATTAATTCGTTCTATAACACTATAAAAAGGTGCGATTGATATTATCCATATTTGGTATATTCCTTGACTGTATATAAATAAATTATTTTTTAAAAATTAGAATTAGAATACAGGCTGTATTATATTAAAGTATAAATTACTTATATGTAAAATTAGATATTAAAGACTTTTACTTAATAGCCCAAAGCTAGTTTTTGTAATAAAATTTCGGGATATTGATAATTTTCGTTATTTTGTTACACAAGATCCTGCAATCTGATTGGTAAATCATAGGAAGTTAGCAACACTCTTAAAAGTATACAAATTTTAAATAATACTATAAAAATTTTAATACTTTTTTATTAGATTGCTAGACTTTAGAGAATTAAGATGTAAGGCTAACAACGGCCACTGGTGATTTATAAGTGTAAGGAGGGAAAAGTTGTTAGGTACCTCTGGTAACCGACTGAGTCTTTAGTGTATAAAAGGTTATAGTAGTGTAACTTTTATCGTGTTTGTAGACGATAATCCAGGTTCCAACTAAATAATAAAGGCAGGATTGCTTAAGTTCAAAAAAAAAAAAGAATTTTTTAATATTATAATCGAATATATAATAAAAAATATATAGTACGTATAAAAAGTTAGATAAAAACTATTTAGTCGTAATACGTATAAAAAAATTTGATATATTATTATAATACTGTAAATTTATCAATTTTTAATTGAAAATTTTTATTGATGTACAAATCTTTTACCATATCTACGTATGAACACAGAGTAATATTCCAATTGAAACAATTGAAAATAGATGAGATTCCAGAGATAGTTTTGTATCAATACTATTTCGACACAATCATCGCCAATTTTTGTTATTTTTGTTTGGAGTACGTAGTGCAATGAAAAAACAATCGAAAAAGGTTAATATTAATACTAAAGAGCAAGCGCCATGAATTACTACGTATCGTTACGGCTTATTATTTATTAATGACCTAACTCGTCATCTTGGTTAACAATTTGTGCTCAGTAAAAATTTAAACTAAGAAGTTCATTGAATACGTATTCATGTTTTCTTAGTATCATTAACGTTATCATTAACGTTATCATTACTTTTAATGTAGACCATATTATCGTAAACCTTTTTACCATAATAAGTACCAATACCAACAGATAATATACTTAATGATATAGGAATAGGTCTACCATATTTAACCATTCGAGGAATCATGATCCCAGCTAATAAGATGGATGCAACTTGAAATACCAGAGATTATAAATTAGTAAAGAAGCAAAATTAAATAAAAATAAAAATAAAAATGGTGATTACCGAAGGCTGTCTCATTTCCATAACTTTTTTCCTTTTGAAGTAAATATCTATTATTTAAAATAATTTAACAATTTGAATAATAAATTTGGATACAAAGGTCTTTTTTTACTTACCCACCAACGGCATATCCCATGCCAATACCTACACCTGACACTATGGAAGGCACCGATTTTTTGGAAGCATAACCAGCAACTCCACCGACAGTACCTAACATGAAATGTGAAGAGAAATTAACTATTACAATTCACCAGAAAAACATATTTTATGAATATAAATTACATAGTACTGCCATTGCGTAAGCAGGATGATAATGCATGTTTGGACGATAATCAAATTTTTACTGGGGTAATTGTTGTGAAAGATCAAAGAATAAATCCAAGTCACACGAGATATAAATAGGACGATCAACCCCCATAATGGTAAACTTAACACTCGGTTAGGATTTTCTTATCGAACAGTCCTAAGTTCTAAAATGAGTTGAACGAGGAGAAAAAAAGCAAAAAAAAAAAAAAATAGGTATTAATTTCTTACTTTCTTTAGGAAGTCCAATACCGATACGTATCAAATTACTTTTGGTATTAAAAATTAATTGATTAAATTATGTAACGAATTGATGATTGAGGCGTTTTGTTTTCTATCAGTCTATTTATTAAATATCGAATCAAAGTCGATAGTTTGTATGTATGTACGTACGTTATCATACACCTTATGATATAAATGGTCATGCAAACGTTAATTGTATCAAACTTAAAAGTTGTGCTACTTCTTTGTACTTGGGAAAACGATTAGAATCGCTTTGCTGCGAAATTGTGTAATACAGAATTACCTTATCTGATGAAAAAGATTGCTATATTTATAGCAATAGGATATCATTAAAGTCGGGTGCTCACGTGATCCGGCGTTTTCTAATTAGAATTGGTGTCAGAATTGGTGTCAGGATTGGTTTTTAGGTTTTAGATTTTAGATTAGGGAGTGGTACTACATGGTATATCTTCTATTATTACTATATACGTAACGGTAACAAATTTTTTAATAGCGATTATTAAAAAAGAAATTTAGAACTTGAAAAATGATATAATATTATCGTACGTAGCGATAGTTATTAGTTATTAGAATTATATATATACTATAGTAAATATTTAATGAATAAGGAGTTTTTGAAATGCTTCTCTAAAAATATCTATAACGATAATGTGCATCCAATAAGTTATTGTGATGTATTACTTCGAACAATACATAGTCCATTGTGGGACGATGAAACTGTCATCATTATTAGAAAAGGGAATGAGGGCTGAATCACAACTTAACTATATAAACTGTAATGGTTTAGAAAATTTCTCGTGCTGTGATATATATATATATATTTTTCTACGTAGCTAATAAACGAAAATAAGTTTTAGAAATTCCGTTTTGCTCCGCATACGTAATCACTAACAACAATAAAATGTCTGTCACATTATGCAGCTCCAGCTCTATCAGTAATAATTATAATAATAATGATGAGCCATGCCTTATTGTCCCCTCTTGCACAAATTCATCGAAAAACATCTTGAGGATGAATAACGATAACATACTCGCAAACAGACCTGATAATAAACCATGGATAATTAAAAAACTTGAAGACTGCAACCCATCGTTAGTATTGGAAAATAAAGCAAGTGTTGCGAGAGACCATTTAGGTGAATATAATATGTTTTTCATTATAAAACTATATTTCAGTTTTTAACTTTTTATATTTTTGGGCCTTTATAAGCCAACGAAAGAACCTTCCTCGCATGGCTTAGGACGTCTCTTTCGTTCATAAGCATTGGAATAGGTGAGTTTATGAATAAATAAATATATCTAAATTATATATATATATATATATATATATTTATATACAATTTTAACATCATTATTAAAATTATAATTTTTCTCTCAAAACGCTATTACTGTACTAGCAATCACACAATTATTTAGATTAACAGGAGGTACACCCGATTCACATAGCGATGATAAAGTTGGTAAAGGACTAGGAATAGCTTTTATAGTTCTTGGAATTATTTTTCTTGCATTTGGTCTCTTTAGATATTTTAATTCCCAACAACTTATGACGAAAGGTCATTTCCCTGCTAGTAGAGGTAGTGTTGTATTGGGATCTTTATTAACGATTGTAATATTGGCTGGATGTTTCGTAGTTATACTAGTTATAGATAGGTGAATAGTCCGATTTAGACGACGGAAACGACGGGGAAGGACGGATAGTATGGACGTAAATACGTAATAGTGGTAATGTTGTGGTAATGTTGGTCGTATGAACACTGTCCGCTCCGCGTGGCGAATTACCTAATTTCAAAATCACGTGAATGAAGAAATTCTAGCGTTTTCTAGTTATATTTAAGTCAAACTTATAAATAAAATATATATATAAAATAAATAAAATCATTTCGTATAAAATTTTAATTTTGGAATTTGAATTTGTCAAGTGAAAATGTCGTACTTTCGAACTCAATATTCTGGTCTAAGAGATTTTTCACCCTTTGACGCATTTAAGCATGTGCAAGATCTAAGCAAGCCTGTTCAGCAACACTTGCTTAAGGTTTATCTAACACTTAGTAGTGTTTGTTTTGTTACTGCGGCTGGAGCTTTCGTCCATACCAACCATTTGTTCTTGTTTGGTGTATGTTTATATGGATCTTATTTTTAGTAAATGATTTTGTTAACGACAATTAATAACTTTTGTAAATTATTATAAAATATTAATAACTTTAGGGTGGTCTCCTTTCTTTCTTGGTAGGTCTTGGGTCTTTAATAGGTATTATGTCTACACCAGACACTCCGCAAAACAAAACTTTACGTTACGGTTTATTATATGTATGTCATGTTTTTAAAATCATTTGAATTGTTATTTAAATTGTGGCTAAATTAGAATTTATTCGGATTCTTTAGAATTTTGCATTTATGGAAGGTCTTTCAATCGGGCCTCTTGTTGAACTTACCCTTATGATTCCTAATTGGTAAAATTTTTTTTTGTCTTTCACGCATTGGCGACTTTTAACCATTTTTAACCATTTTTTTTTATTCACTTTACAGTGATCATGTAGTGATCAATGCCTGCGCTTTGACCTTCTTAATCTTTGGTTGTTTCTCATTAGCTTCTATTTTGAGTAACAAAAGAACCTATATATATCTTGGAGGAATATTGGGTTCAGCGATTTCAATGTTGTTTTGGATGTCATTCATTAATGCGTTCGTCGGTTCCTTGGCTCTGTATTCTGCGGAGCTTTACATAGGATTGGCAATATTTTGTTTATATGGTAAAAATGATTAATTTACGTTCTGATTTACTTTATTGATATCTTTTAAGTTTCACATATTCACTTTGATCGATTTTATTTTTCACAGTCATATATGATACACAACTTATCATTTATCGTGCATCTCAATTGGGTTCTCGTGATGTTGTAAGCCATACACTTGACTTGTTCATTGACCTTGTTGGCATATTCACTAGATTGGTGGTTTTGATGACGGAATCTGAAGGAAATGCGAATCGTAGGAAACGTAAAAATAAAAGAACTGAATATGTTGGGATTTGATCAGGCTTCTTGGTTATGTCGATATTTCAATATACTTTTACAATAAGTATCGTCGTTTAGTAAGATATTATTGTAATAACTATAGTCGTCAATAAGATATTTTTTCATCAGACGCACTCGACATTTCATTTTTCTGACATTAAAAGTTTTTATGCCAGAGGGTTATTATGTATACTGCTTAATTCTAGCGTTTTATATCCATTTCACTAATTTTTACTATTGTAATTGTAATTGCTTTTAATAAAAGAATAAGAATAGTTATCTCTTTGAACAATATGATCCTAGAAGTAAAATTACGAAATAAAATTATGAAATAAAATTATGAAATAAAATTCACTTGATATATATAATTCACGCTTTTTGATTATACAATTGACAAAATTTTTTTTATTGATCTAAAAAAAAAAAAAAGAAATATATATAAACACAAAAAACCAGTTAAACCTATGCTAAGAGTAACGATATAGTTTTAAAAGTTTTTTACAAAAAATTATATCATAAAAAAAGTACTTTTGGATTTTTTTTTTTAACAAAGAGTTTTTTTTTTTGAAAACAAATATAAACAAAAAGAAAAATGCGAAATTGTCCACCCAATCCTTTTTTTTTGGTTTTGCTTTTTTTTTTTTTTTTTTTTTTTTTTAACCAAGAAATAATACACAAATGTTTAAGAATGATTTTTGGATTTTTTTTTATACTACAAAAAGAAAAGAAAAAAGAAAAAGATGAAAAGAAGTCTATGCCGTTAAACAAAAAAGAAAATGCCACAACAAAATGTATAATGAAAAAAATAATGATAAAACGATTCTCTTTTTTTTTTTTTTTTTTTAATTCTAGCCTGCTAGTTCTCCCAAAAGTGAAACTTTCAACTCCAATCTCGTATGATCTCTCGTAAATTCTAGCAATCTTTCGTGTGTGCCTTACCAAATTCAACGATATTCTATTAAATTCAACAATTCATAACGGGATTTTTGACCAATTTCACAAGATGAAATTGATTAGGAGGAGGTAAACCAGGAGAGTATCTTGGAGGAGGTGGAATATGTATAAATTGACCATGATGATTACCACCATGAACAACACCATGACGTGGAGAAGTGGATATTGGAATTAAGATTTGTTGAACCTTTTGATTAACATTGTTTCCATTGGGAGGGGTACAAACTTGTACAGGAATGAACACCTGATTAAATTCATTACCACGTTTCTGATGGTATTGTTGTCTTTGACGATGATGATTTTGTTGCCTTCTTTTATGTGAATATTGTTGGTTTTGTTGATTTTGAGGATATTTATGGTATTTCTTGTTGTTACCATTGTAATTATTATTATTATTATTATTATTATTATTATTATAATTGTTATTACTATTATTACTATTATTATTACTATTGTTATTATTATTATAATGTTCATTTACAAAGTCGTTTTTGATACCGTTATTATAATCATTTACAAAATTGTTTTTTGAAGAAATGCGTCTACGTGGTGGTTGCTGAGGCTGAGGCATTCTAACCACAACTCTAGATAAATTTTGAGGCGGATGAATTGGAATAAAAGTTGGTGGCATCGGAGAATAAGGTGGAGGCGGTGTCATCGGAGGAGAAATCGGAGGAGAGATCGGAGAAATAGGTCGATGAACACTATCAACCCCATCAGAAGTAACAGAGAATCGTTGTTTTGATAATAAAATCTTTTCATAAAAAGCCATTTTACGTTCGATAAAAGTATTAATTAAGACTAATTTACGTAAATGATTGTTAGTGTCCTTGCGAATGTTTGAGTTATTGGTTGATTGATTGCTACCTATGGATTTTATTTTAATGATTGAAAGTTTATAAATGTAGGTAAGATCGATTGCAGAAGTTGAAGTAGCCATCTCACTTTTGTTTTTTTTTGATACAAAGAATGAGTATTAAACAAATATTGGAATAAAAAAAAAAAAAACAAAGATGCGAAAAATATGCCGAAAACAAGAATGGAATATATTAAAACAAAGCCGGCTTTGTTACGTTCCGTTATGAAAATATATGAAGCAAGTTAATATTGAAAATTGTATAAAATGTTTATTTTTTGCTATATATCTAACAAGAACCAGTGAAAATTTTATATATGTATATATATACTATAGTTTTTTTTTTCGTGAAAATGAAATTTTTACAGAGGTCGTGAAAGAAAGATGAAAGAAAAAAAAAATATTAAACGATTAAATCCAAATAATCAATATAATGTCCTTTTAAAAAAACAAAAAAAAAAAGAAAAAAAAAGAAAAAAAAAAAGATGAGAATTCCTTCAAAGGGAAAAGAATAAAAATAACGATATTTATACGGGGAACAAGAACCCAAACAAAGGTCACAAAGTACTCCTGTGTGGTATGTACTATGTAATGCGAGTGAATAAGCCACAACGACCACAATATCACAAAACTCTTTGTGATCGCCCAATTTGATAATTATTCAAGGTTATGCGTATGGCATCATTGTTCGTTTGTTTATCGTGTGTTTATTAATAATATATTAATTGCTCATGAAAGATATTATTTCTCGAATTTTTATAGTACATAGTAAATGAATGATGATATCACAAAGGATATAACGTGATGCTAATTTTTAAGTAGATATCATATATTAATCCTAAGTATCCTAACGAACATAAATGTGACTAATTGACCGAAATTTACCTTGTGCAAAGGAGTCCGTATAAACAAAATGTAGGTCTGGGAAACACTAATTTTCTTTGCATTTTTTTTATTTTCCTATTTAGATAAATCAATTTAATAAGTTATTCAAAGAGAATGTAGGAGATTAAAAAAAAGCTTGGTGATAAGTTTTGGTGATCTGGCTGAGTCTGATTCCCACCGATCATCGCTTTATCACCTTAACATGAAATTAACCGTTAGAAAAAGCTAAAGATAATCCACAATTTAAGCCCGACCATACAGTATAAACAAACAGATCATTTTTAAACACGTAGAAAGAAAATGGAATTTTAGATGTAACAGGGACTTTACGAAACAAGGGAGAACCAAACATATAAATTTTAAAAGCTTAAAAAGTATAAAAATTGGATATACTTTTTAACCTTGACATCATATAATAGTAAATACGAATTTGAAGATCTATGAAACAACAGGGTAAGTTTTCATTTGATCATCGAATGCAATTCAACATTGGTTATCCTTTTCGGGTTTAAAAAGTCCGATTTTGGAGGTTTCAGTCGCAATTCTTACGGAAACAATAAATCCTACATTGATACAGAAAATGAACCCTGTAAAACCGGTTAGCATTCATATCTTAAATTCTAACCTTTTTAGATATTGATATCAAAATATTCTAAATATGTATGTACATACGTAAACTCACCCCCCTTTTTTTTTACTCTTTTCAAATGTAATTCGAATTCTTATTATTGATTATTAAATTATTGACTATGGTGCAGGTTCTATTATAATTCCGTTACGTATTAATTATTTATGTTACTTTTCTTATTAATATTATTAATATTACAGTATTAATATTAACGATCATATACTTCTAAATCTTTACTATAGGGCTTAGTTCAAAGCCTAAATTCTACTCTTTCTTCAATGTCGATCTGTAGCTTAGCTTTCGAAATTTCTATATTCCAAAGCACCAAATTCTTAAATAAATCAAGCTACGTGACACGTAAGATAATCAATCAAAAAAAAAAGGTTTTCATACAATGGTCCGAAAAAGAAATGACAAACCTAATCATTGTTTATAATTTTATTTTAATATTGTTGATATGGGCTAATTGATTTTTTTTAGGGAATTTGTATTGATGACAACGATCTTCTAAAAAATCTCACATAATCCGTAATCCGCTATTCTCGTTAGCTTAAGCATGCAATTATAAAAATTTAATTTTAATAAGTACTTATGTACGTACGTACGTACGTAGACCCTACCTAAAAATTTTTAGCGAGATATCGATATCGATATCGATATCGATACGTATTCAAGATATGACGAAATATATACAGTATATATTGTTAATATATTGTACGATAATACTAATTTAGGCTTCATTTCTAAATTAGTACTTTTCAAAAATCATAAGGAAGATATGTCCACCTGATATGTTTATTACATGCATGAACTATATTACTATATCAACCTTTTGATCACTCTATTACAGTATTATGTACATTATAAATCCGTTGCATGCTTTTTGTCGTAATTGTTAACGGCTGCTGGTGTGTGATTGTGATCTGAAATAGAATAGTCATATGTCTTTTTGTTCAGTAATTGTTAATTATATATATATATATGTGTTCACAAACGCGAGTTGGTTGCAGGTATTACCTTGGGTTTCTTTCTCAATTCTTTGATTCTTTGATTCTTAAAAAAATTCCTGCCGTGTCCTTGATTTAATGCGTATTTAAAGAATCGTTCCGAAGTTTTTTCCAAATTTTATGTAATACGTTATCGATTGTGTGTTGCCATATGCAAATCATAAAGTACAGACTTTTTTCTTTTTTCGTTATTTCCTTTTCTGGTGAGAAAACTTTGTGACACGACACATAAAATACCAATATCAAGATAATACCAGTTTCGGGATCAACGTAAACAAATGTGTGATTCGGACAAACAACTCCTCTCTTCTGATCCAAGAATAATCTTAAATGTTGGCGGTATCAGAGTAATATATTAATTAAATCACGTGCTTCTCCTTAATTTTCTATCTCTCCAAAATTTCTAAAAATTTCTGATGTATTTATTAGTACGAAACCTATAGATCAACTCTACTAGCTTATCCTCAAACCCTTCTTGGCACAATGTTTCAACCACGTAATGACTCTTTACTTCAACCGTCCAACACTGGCCTCTATAACGAATATTTTTTCGATAGAAATGGATACGCATTTCGTTATATTCTAGAATTTTATCGTACTGGTAAAATTCTTTGGCCAAAATCTAATCCTTTACGTGCTTCCATTTCTCAAAATTCCTTAAAATCTTCCTCCACGTCTTCTATGACCGTAGATAGCGATAAGATAGATTGTTCGACCCATCAATGTACAATTCCAACTACTACAGACTCTTTGGCAAAAATAATGCCCGTATCATTACACGAACTTCAACGTGAACTCGAATTCTTTCAAATTCCTTCTTCCCTATCTCATTCCTCTCCTGCTTCACATTCTTCTGTCTCATATAACATAGCTGCTCAAATTCTTGATGATTTCATTTATATTATAGAATCTTTAATTTGTGAATCCATTGAATCCTTTTCCCAAAAAATTACCATCAAATTTTATGATGATTCCCGACCTGTTGAGGTCTTTATGGCAAGAAGTCGAAGAGACGAAGCGTTAAAAGGATTTGAAAGTTGTGGTTGGGAAATTTTGGATTTATTTGAACAAAAAATATCTAAAAGATTGAAAATTATGTTTCCAGGTTTAAATACTTACGTTGGCTACGTAAATTCAAATGGAAGCGTGAGTAGCGGGTATATAGCGGGAAATACTTTTTTACAAACCGATAATGGAAAAAGAGATGTTAAAGCTAAAGTTTATAGATTATGTTCATTTTTTGATTCAAGAGAAGTATTGTCTAATACTTTAAGTTTTGATGATATTTCTGTCTCTGGAGGTTCATGTGGTAACGATAGTATTAAAGTATCTCCTAAAAAATTATAACATTCATATAATATTATTATAGATGACGGTGTCCTTAATTTCTGTTTCTAAGTGACGCGTCATATTATACACACGTATCATAATATATTTTGCATAAAATAAAATAAAGTTTTATACGTAGATACGTAATACGTAGTATCAAATATATACATAAAAATACTTTGATAAATACAATTAATTTTTTAATAAATTATTAACATTTCTTTTTTGGTTATTAATAAATCGTGATTCATATCAATATACTAAAGGTCGAGACTTGCATGTGTATCCATAGCTTCATCTCAGTTCATTGATACCATCATATGACGCTAGAAATTTCCTTTTTTAAAATATATTTGGTGCGCCGTGAATAATTGGCGCGATATATATATATATATATATATGTATATGCTTGGGCTAAACATATTAAAATTTTATATTGATATTAATATAAATTTAAATTTTTAATTGTTTTTAAATCTGGAAAAATTAAGGTTTATCTGTCAATGATCAGGTGTGGCTCAGATGCTCTGAGTGTCTTATGTGGCGACTTGCAGAGATTTGAAACTCGGGGTAATTGAACTTGGAATAGAATATCCTGAATTACGTATCAAAAGATTTATTAGGCGCATACATTTATTATATAAAATTATATGAAGTGTTGCCAACATCCAACTTTCTGGGCATTCATATCAAGAATAGGAGAAAAAAATAGTTCATCAAAGAAAGAAGGCGATTAAAAAATGGGAAGTGTCGATTGAGAAATCAGTAGATTTCCGCATTAAGACTTAAACGGTGCATATTTTAAAATTCGGTATGAGTGAAATTTAATCGATAGTATTGTCTGTACGTACGTATGTACATACATAGTAATGCTGCCTTAAAGAACTCTATAAGAGTATAATAGCCTTACGGAATATAACAATTGTCTCAAAATTTGGTACAGCAAACTCGTGACTTAAGAAGAATATGTGACTTCGAGAAAATATCGTAACTAGTTTAATCATGTTAAAGGCTTAGCAGAATATTAATAGAATATTCTGGTAATAGCAAAAGAAAGCAAGAAATGT